TATGTTCATGTTGTAACCTACTTGCTGCCATGTTGGACAGGTCTCCGTTGAAAAAGAGATCGATGATCTCAATGGAACCATCTGGTTAAATAAAGGTTTAAAAAGATTTTGTCAGTCTCACGACGGTATTGAGACATTTGTTTACCGCGATATTCGATATATCGTTACATCCCTAATATATATAGCACCAAATTGCAACTAATCTATATCTACTGTCACTTTTCACATTGAACATGTGCTCTTTTATTAAATAAACTAAACACTTTAATTTCAAGTTGTGAGTTTAGTGTTTTTGACACTAAGAAACACTGATGCATTAATCAATAACAATAATCCACAGCTCCTCCCTGGAGGATTAAAAAAAATATATATATATCCCAATGCCACCCCCTGATTATAATTAACTTTCGTTTTAAGTATTCAACATACTATGAAGATCTCAACAGGGGGTAATTATAGAATGGACACAAGCTCAAGGGGGACACGAGACAAAAAAGGTTGGGAACAACTGGCAAAGAAGACTGGGTGACAGATATAGAATCACAGTTGAATAAAGAAAATCATGTAAAATCCTTTCAATAGTTCATATATGAAGAACAAATAGTTCAGAGGGCCGTCAATGTTAAACAGCTTGACACCAACCTGAGAGTTTCCAGTTCACAGTGGGAACCCTCCAGTCCAGGAGACAGCAGCTTCACTCCTGAGCTTCAGCAGCTTCACAGACAGCAGCTTCACAGCCTTCCTCTGTAACCAGACAGCCTGACAGACTACACACACACACACACACACACACACACACACCACACACATATACACACACACACACACACACACACACACACACACACACACACACACACACACACACACACACACAAATTAACAGCATTTATGCTAATTGTGCAAATTGCCCAACATATGCAAGTTAGCATCCGGCAGTTTCTATGTGCTGGAGACCCGTACTATACATTTCTAAGGTAAAACGTTGGGGTTCTCAACATTTCCGGGTTCACAACAGGACTCTATGAGTTTCAAACTAAACTACGGGTCGAGCTCTTCAGCCTAGAACAGTGGTTCCCAACTGGGGGTACAGGGACCCCTAGGGGTACTTGAGGGGATTGCAGGCTGTATGTAGAAAGATTAGGAATTTCAATTTTAATTATAGGGTGAGTTATACAAGTGCTTTTCATCTAAGGAGCAGTTGTGTTAATTACGTTTAGGTTTAGGCGAATCATCACAGATGAGTGAGGGGGTACTTATAGGGGGACACGAGACAAAAAAGGTTGGGAACCACTGGCATAGAAGACTGGGTGACAGATATAGAATCACAGTTGAATAAAGAAAATCATGTAAAATCCTTTCAATAGTTCATATATGAAGAACAAATAGTTCAGAGGGCCGTCAATGTTAAACAGCTTTACACCAACCTGAGGGTCTCCAGTTCACAATGTGGACTCTCCAGTCCAGCAGACAGCAGCTTCACTCCTGAATCCTGCAGGTCGTTGTTTCTCAGGTCCAGCTCTCTCAGACTAGAGGACTGGGAGCTGAGGACTGAGGACAGAGCTGCACAGCTTCTCTCTGAGAGGTTACAGACACTCAGTCTGAGGAGGAATCAGTAATACAGAAGAAATAAATAACAAACTTGTATTTGTTTCTGATTAAATAATAAATAAATGTAATCTGGATAGTTATGTGTGCACGTACAGAGCTTTGTTTGAGGCTTTGACCACTGGCAGCAGCCTCAGAAGAGCTTCCTCCGAAGCAGAGTATTTATTCAGGTCAAACACGTCCAGATCTTCTTCTGATGACAGTAAGATGAAGACCAGAGCTGACCACTGAGCAGGAGAGAGATTCTCTGTGGAGAGACTTCCTGAACTCAAGGACTGTTGGATCTCCTTCACTAGAGAACGATCATTCAGTTCATTCAGACAGTGGAACAGGTTGATGCTTCTCTCTGGAGACAGATCCTCATCCATCTTAGTCTTGATGTACTGGACTGTTTCTTTGTTGATGTCTGCGCTACTTCCTGTCTGTGTCAGCAGGCCTCGTAAGAGAGTCTGATTGGTCTGCAGTGAAAGACCCAGGAGGAAGCGGAGGAACAAGTTCAGGTGTCCGTTTGGACTCTGTAAGGCCTGGTCCACAGCACTCTGGTAGAGATGTGTTAGTTTAGGTTTGAACTCATACTGCTGGGAGGTTGTTGGTTCTTCTGACAGCAGGTTGACCCCAGAGTTGATGAAGGTCAGATGGACATGAAGAGCAGCCAGAAACTCCTGAACGCTCAGATGGACGAAGCAGAACACCTTGTCCTGGTACAGTCCTCTCTCCTCTCTAAAGACCTGTGTGAACACTCCTGAGTACACTGAGGCTGCTCTGATATCGATGCCACACTCTGTCAGGTCGGACTCATAGAAGATCAGGTTGCCTTTCTGCAGCTGCTCAAAAGCCAGTTTCCCCAGAGACTCCATCATCTTCCTGCTCTTTGGACTCCAGTGTGGATCCGTCTCAGCTCCTCCATCATACTTGATGTTCTTCACTTTGGACTGGATCACCAGGAAGTGGATGTACATCTCAGTCAGGGTCTTGGGCAGCTCTCCTCCCTCTCTGGTTTTCAACACCTCCTCCAGAACTGAAGCAGAGATCCAGCAGAAGACTGGGATGTGGCACATGATGTGGAGGCTTCGTGAGGTCTTGATGTGGGAGATGATGGTGCCGGCCTGCTCCTGATCTCTGAATCTCTTCCTGAAGTACTCCTTCTTCTGTGGGTCAGTGAACCCTCGGACCTCTGTCACCATGTCCACACACTCAGGAGGGATCTGATTGGCTGCTGCAGGTCGTGTGGTTATCCAGAGGCGAGCAGAGGGATGCAGCTTCTCCCTGATGAGGTTTGTCAGCAGCACATCCACTGAGGTGGACTCTGTGACATCAGTCAGGATCTGAGTGTTGAGGAAGTCCAGAGGAAGTCGACACTCATCCAGACCGTCAAAGATGAATACGACCGGGAACTGATCGAACCTGCAGATTCCTGCGTCTCTAGTTTCAGGGAAGAAGTGATGAACAAGTTCCACCAAGCTGTACTTGTTCTCTCTCACCACGTTCAGCTCTCTGAAGGTGAATGGAAATATGAACTGGATGTCCTGGTTGGCTTTGCCTTCAGCCCAGTCCAGAGTGAACTTCTGTGTTAACTAGTTACGCCCGCGGCAAAACGCAACATCTTGCAAGAAACAGTGTATGAGGGCTTCTTAACATTTAAAAAACTATGAATGTGTCATACCCACTTAACGGGAAGAAACTCAGCTATCAGAAAATATTATCAATTTTTAGCTAAACGAAACAAACAGGTAATAACAAAGGCTCTGAATTAGCCCTGAGCGAAAAAAATGCTAACACACTTAGCAGAGAAATCACGGTAAAATACCCTTATTACTTATCAGAACTGCACAAACAAGATATCGATTAGCAAGCTGAGATTTCACAGATTCCAGAAATATAAGTTTCACCACTGAGCGATCACAACTCGCTGCATGGAAAACAAACTCAGACATCACACGACGTAGCTTTACGGAGCAAAAATGGGAAATATGTCTTGCCTTTTGCTGTTGTTCTGATCAAAAGTTGTGTTCAATAGCATTACAACGATGAAAACGCTGCTGAAGGTTAATCCAATGTGTCTGTCACTTTGAAATGATTACTGATAATCCATTTTCATATTTATGTCAATAACGGAGATTTCATATTAGCTGCTACCAGAGTGTAACCCAGCTTCCGGTTTAGGGCATTCTGGCTAGGAATCACTCATTCACCAATGGGTAATGTTTAGATGGATTTAGGAACCTCCCCTCGATTATATTGGCTCTAACGGTTAAAAATAGGTGTCAATCATCAAAATCGATCGAGGGGGGCCGAAGATATGGAAAATCCACCCAAATGACCCCAGTAGTGGGGTTTTTTCTAAATCTCTCTAAAAAGGTCAAATGTCACTTGGTTTGCATCAATCTTGATACAGGGTACTTATTATATGTTGTAGTTTGGATTCCTAAAGCTTTTAGTCTACTATCCCATCATTCAAGGCTGGTTTTCACTATAAGTAATGTTTTTCTTTTGGACGGACATTATCATTTACATTTTTTTACTATGTTCAATCTGAATTTACTTTAAAACAAAAAAAAAATCTATATTGAATCTGACTTTTCTACATCCAACTCACAGGTTTATCATTGCTTTGAGAAAAAAGATTATTAATTTAACCCTTTTAGAAGATATGGTCATTTGTTCTGGGAATGTCATTTTCGAGCCTGAGACCTGAAAAAACAGGCTCAGGGCTCAACAAGTTATATGAATAAATTAACAATTTTTCCAAGTGGACCCTGGCCCTCGCTCAGGCACCTGTTGTAAATGACGGAAGTATTAGTTTATATCTTTGAAACTACAAGACCCACTACACCAATCCTGTGAGATCTAACACTTGTGAGATTACTGCAGGATATTAGAGTCTCCTCAGGTTAAAAAAAAGAAGTAACTGTAGACAATCAGAGTTTGATGCATTGTTATTCTAAAAAAACAGAATTGAACTGTAGACAGTGAGTCTGTTTCCTCACTTTATAGAAAGAGTTCCACCCCCCATGTTATCTCTACATTGATCTTGTCATGTTTTGACAGCTTGTGCCAAAGCATCTGGGCCTAAAGTTCTCCTCCACAGGCCCTGCGTTGCCCTCCTTATTGCACACAAACAACATCAGGACTCTTTAGGGTCACATGACCACAAAGACCATCAAATTGTCGACCTGCAGACAGCAGCTTCAGCCAAGTCCAGACCGTGCTGACGGAAGAACTTCCGTGCAACAGTTTCTGACATTTTGTGCAGGAATCTTTCCATTGTGCCAAGTAACTTCTTCTTCTTCAGCACATCTACATCAGGCTCTTTTATTACAAAGAGTCAGTTTGCTCCCTGCTGGATAAATGCAATAACACATGTTCTAATAACAAAAGCAAAGACACCACAGTAGCCTTTTAAACGTTATTTATTTGTCATATATGTACAGTACACGGTATAGCAAACACACACAATGTCACCTCTGCATTTAACCCATCCTAGTACTAGAAGCATTGGGCAGCTATTGTACAGCGCCCAGGGAGTGGTGGTGAGGGGGGGGGGTCCGTTGCCTCGCTCAAGGGCACCTTGGCAGTGACCAGGAGGTGAACTGGCACCTCTCCAGTCCGACCGGGGACTTGAACCTCCATTCAAAGACTAAGTCCCTACAAACTGCGCCACTGCCCCTGTGTTGGCCCTAAACAGTGAAATAGTTTGTTATTAACAGTAAGATATTCCCCCTCCATTGATTCCTTTAAACCCGTCTAAAGGCCCATCTCTTTTTGTTACCCACTGAATTGTCAACATGAAGGCAGGCCTGTACACGCTAAGGTGTTTAATAGTAAGTGTTTATTAAGATATACTCTATGTTTGTATTCATCTACTGTTATTTCTCTTTTCAATGACTGTGTTTTTATTTGATCTCTTTGTAAATCATTTAAGTTAAAATGTGCTGTTTTAAAATGCGATTCATTATTAAACTTACATTAGGTTACTTAAAAGTAATCAAATAAACAAAAGATCGCCATAAAGATAAGAAGAAATTATTTGATTAGAAGTCTTTGGAAGCATAAAGAATATAGGACAGTACAAATCTCATTACATTCCAGAATAACTAAAATGTCATAGAAATTACCAAACATGTTTTTTTCAAATGATGCTTATCATTTTCACTTACAAAATATGATTTTCTCAGTCAAAACAAGGAAAAAAACAGATTCTATGGATAATTGCAGTCAGCATCTCGTTTCACACAATTTCATGTAGAAATGTTACATAGCAAGGGTAGACATTAAGGGTAAAATTCCACTGGCCCCACCATTGGAACCTCCGGCCCGGAGCATTCGTCCAAAAATCAACTAATAATGAAGAAAATGAACACATTTGTTGCCATAGTAATTTATGCACAAACTACAATACTACTTGTACTACAACATTTGAATCATCAGTTCTTCCTCATTTTCCTCAATTGTTCATATTTGGTTTATTAAAATAACGATATTGTAGTCATTGTTAAAAAATGTCTGCTATTATTATGAGTATTATTATTTGTATAATGCGCTTTCTGCCTTCCTGTCATTAGGAGTTAGAAATGTAATGGCTCTGTAATAGATTAGAACCTTCATTATCCTAAACGTCTGGGACATTTCCCTAAAGCCAATATCTTTATATTTTCTACTCTTCACTTACTTGTCAGCATTGATGTACAGAGCCGACAGAAGACCTTGTTTATATCATCGTATTGCAGCCAACTCAATCAATCAAGCCAGTGTGGCTGAAACTATCTCTCCCTCTTCTTCTCATGCTCCCCGTCACTCTTCTTTAACTCCTCTGGTGATTTTTTTTTATTTGAAGATAGTTTTTTGCCCGGCGCATGGCCGGTTACCGCTGGTATTAAAAACATTTTGGCGAATGGTTAGGTGGCGCTAAACTCTGTAGTGAAGGCAAGTTTATTTTTTTATTTATATGAAGGAACACGCTCTGCAGCAAACAGCTGTTTGCTTTTCACCCAAAAACGACAACCGCCTCACGAAACTCTATGTTGTAGCATTAATAAACTAAACAAATGAAAAAAATTGTTCGTCAAAATACCTATACCACAGGACCATTTTTTTTTTTTTAAAGCAATATTTTTAGCGGCCCGAGCGGGCAAGTGGAAAGTACGTTATGCTGGCCCGGGGGGCTAAATAGTGCTCCCGGGCCAGCGGGCCATTTATAATGTTGAGCCCTGCTTTGTATATCAGTATATCTATATATAAGTCTGAAAATGTTGACTCTCAGCCCTTCAGAGGATACAGAGACACCGAACCAGACCTGAACCTGAAACCAAACCCAGCATAGAGAGGTTCAGTGAATGTGGTTCTGAAGGTGTGGAGGTGGATCAGTTTGTCAGAGGAGACTCTGTAGAAGGAGAGAGAGCCAGCAGGATGATCCAGATACACTGCTACTCTACCAGAGGGGGAGGGGGAGGAGATGTATGTTTCCGTGTTATTGTGCCAGACATAGTAACAAACATTGGAGCAGTTCAGACTCCAGGACTGATCATTCTCTCCAAACCTACAGTCCTTATCGTCTCCTCTCCTGCTGATTCCTCTGTAGGTCAGTGATATATGAACCTCTCCTCTCCACTCGACCTCCCAGTAGCAGCGACCAGTCAGAGCTTCTCTACACATCAGCTGAGGCTCTTTCTCAAACCTCTCTGGATGATCAGGATATGGCTGCTCCCCTCTCACATGTGTCACCTTCCTGTTGTCTTCAGACAGTTTGAGTCCTCTGTGAGCTGTGTTTGAGTCCAGCTCCAGTTCACAGGCATCTGATGGAGAGAACAGCTGCAGGTTATCATCTGTTCATTTATGAACTACTTTACTGACTGACAGAAACCATTCAGACTGACGTCTCATATTCACTGAGAATGATGTCTAACAGCCTGATCTTCATCAGCAGGTGATCCATCAATGATCTCAGACCTAATGCTTATTATTGTAAAATAAGAGATAAGGAAAGGGAACCAGCATCAGCGCTCAGCTGTTGATCTCCTGTCACTATCCAAAGATGTGCTTGTGTTGTGAACTTCCATTGTTGGTATCTTGGTTTCATTGTTCGGTTTTCTCACTTACAACAGAAAATAAAAAACAATAAGATGTTTGTTACTTGATTGTGTTGTTTATTTGATATAAAAGTAACAAAAAGTAATCAAGTGAAGTTACGTTGATATTGTGATACTTAGATTAGGTTACTGATTACATTTCTTAGAAGGTAATAAGTAACTGTAACTGAATACATCTTAAGGTAACCCTCCCCACCCTGAATATCAGAATATATCTTTAAAGACAATGAAGAGAAGAGGTGAGCTTTCTGTCGGTGCGTCTGTTATGAAATGTGTTTATCAGTGTAACCTGAGCAGCTCTGAGGAATCAAACTGAAAACACACTCACACTTCCTCAGACCAGGTTTCAACCACTGCAGTCCACCATGGTCCATCCTGCAGGAAGAAACACAGTCAGGACCATCTTCATACACCTTCACTCCAATCCACCATTAAACAGGAAGCCCCTCAGTCAGTGACAGAGACTCAGTCTCTCTGTCTGTACCTGAGTGTCTCCAGTCTCCAGAGTGGATCTTCACGTCCAGCAGACAGCAGCTTCTCCCCTGAGTCTCCTGGATGATTGTAGCTCAGGTCCGGCTCTCTCAGATGGGAGGAGGGGTTGGAGCTCAGAGCTGAAGCCAGAGAAACACAGCCTTCTTCTGTGACCAGACAGCCTGACAGACTGCACACACACACACACACACACACACACACACACACACACACACACACACACACACACACACACACACACACACACACACACACACACACACACACACACACACACACACACACACACACACACACACACACACACACACACACACACACACACACACACACACACACACACACACACACACACACACACACACACACACACACACACACACACACACACACACACACACACACACACACACACACACACACACACACACACACACACACACACGTTAGCATCCGGCAGTTTCTATGTGCTGGAGACCCGTACTATACATTTCTAACATAAAACTTTGGGGTTCTCAACAGGACTCTATGAGCTTCAAACGAAACTACGGGTCGAGCTCTTCATCCTCGAACAGTGGTTCCCAACTGGGGGTTCGGGGACTCCTAGGGGTACTTGAGGGGATTGCAGGCGGTATGTAGAAAGATTAGGAATTTCAATTTATTTCCACACAAAGAAATATTTTTAAATCAATTTGCATAAGGCTAGTGTCCCGCCGCCTGAACTATCAAAGCTTATAAAACAAAAGCAAGCTCAAGTGTCTCGTTGAAAGCTCGAAGCTTTACAAAATATGTTGAAACTGCTAGGAGTGAGTCTTTACATAATTTATTTTCACTGACAAATGGTGTAAATGTTAAGTTTAAATGCATTTGTATTAAGGGGGGGGTTATACAAGTGCTTTTCATCTAAGGAGCAGTTGTGTTAATTACGTTTAGGTTTAGGCGAATCATCACAGATGAGTGAGGGGGTACTTATAGGGGGACACGAGACAAAAAAGGTTGGGAACCACTGGCATAGAAGACTGGGTGACAGATATAGAATCACAGTTGAATAAAGAAAATCATGTAAAATCCTTTCAATAGTTCATATATGAAGAACAAATAGTTCAGAGGGCCGTCAATGTCAAACAGCTTTACACCAACCTGAGGGTCTCCAGTTCACAATGTGGACTCTCCAGTCCAGCAGACAGCAGCTTCACTCCTGAATCCTGCAGGTCGTTGTTTCTCAGGTCCAGCTCTCTCAGACTAGAGGACTGGGAGCTGAGGACTGAGGACAGAGCTGCACAGCTTCTCTCTGACAGCTTACAGCCACTCAGTCTGGAGAGGAATCAGTAACACAGTAGAAATCAATTGCAAACAGTTATTTATCTATTTCTGAATAATTGTCTACTACATTTAACCTGGATAGTTATGTGTGCACGTACAGAGCTTTGTTGGAGGCTTTGACCACTGGCAGCAGCCTCAGAAGAGCTTCCTCCGAAGCAGAGTATTTATTCAGGTCAAACACGTCCAGATCTTCTTCTGATGACAGTAAGATGAAGACCAGAGCTGACCACAGAGCAGGAGACAGATTATATCTTGAGAGTTGTCCTGAGCTCAGGTACCGTTGGATCTGCTCCACTAGAGAACGATCATTCAGTTCATTCAGACAGTGGAACAGGTTGATGCTTCTCTCTGGAGACAGATCCTCATCCACCTTAGTCTTGATGTACTGGACTGTTTCTTTGTTGATGTCTGCGCTACTTCCTGTCTGTGTCAGCAGGCCTCTTAGGAGTTTCTGATTGGTCTGCAGTGAAAGACCCAGGAGGAAGCGGAGGAACAAGTCCAGGTGTCCGTTTGGACTCCGTAAGGCCTGGTCCACAGCACTCTGGTAGAGATTTGTTAGTGTAGATTTGACTTTAGTCTTCTTGGAGGTTGTTGGTTCTTCTGCCAGCAGGTTGACTCCAGAGTTGATGAAGGTCAGATGGACATGAAGAGCAGCCAGAAACTCCTGAACGCTCAGATGGACGAAGCAGAACACCTTGTCCTGGTACAGTCCTCTCTCCTCTCTAAAGACCTGTGTGAACACTCCTGAGTACACTGAGGCTGCTCTGATATCGATGCCACACTCTGTCAGGTCGGACTCATAGAAGATCAGGTTGCCTTTCTGCAGCTGCTCAAAAGCCAGTTTCCCCAGAGACTCCATCATCTTCCTGCTCTTTGGACTCCAGTGTGGATCTGTCTCAGCTCCTCCATCATACTTGATGTTCTTGACTTTGGACTGAACCACCAGGAAGTGGATGTACATCTCAGTCAGGGTCTTGGGCAGCTCTCCACCCTCTCTGGTTTTCAACACCTCCTCCAGAACTGAAGCAGAGATCCAGCAGAAGACTGGGATGTGGCACATGATGTGGAGGCTTCGTGAGGTCTTGATGTGGGAGATGATGGTGCCGGCCTGCTCCTGATCTCTGAATCTCTTCCTGAAGTAAACCTCCTTCTGTGGGTCAGTGAACCCTCGGACCTCTGTCACCATGTCCACACACTCAGGAGGGATCTGATTGGCTGCTGCAGGTCGTGTGGTTATCCAGAGGCGAGCAGAGGGAAGCAGCTTCCCCCTGATGAGGTTTGTCAGCAGCACATCCACTGAGGTGGACTCTGTGACATCAGTCAGGATCTCAGTGTTGAGGAAGTCCAGAGGAAGTCGACACTCATCCAGACCGTCAAAGATGAACACGACCGGGAACTGATCGAACCTGCAGATTCCTGCGTCTCTGGTTTCAGAGAAGAAGTGATGAACAAGTTCCACCAAGCTGTACTTGTTCTCTCTCACCACGTTCAGCTCTCTGAAGGTGAATGGAAATATGAACTGGATGTCCTGGTTGGCTTTGCCTTCAGCCCAGTCCAGAGTGAACTTCTGTGTTAAGACTGTTTTCCCAATGCCAGCCACGCCCTTTGTCAGCACTGCTCTGATTGGTGCATCTCTTCCAGGTGAGGCTTTAAAGAGGTCTTCTTGTCTGATGGTTGTTTCTGGTCTGTCTGCTTTTCTGGATGCTGTTTCAATCTGTCTGACCTCATGTTCATCATTGACCTCTGCAGACCCCCCCTCTGTGATGTAGAGCTCTGTGTAGATCTGGTTCAGAAGGGTTTGGTTTCCTGCTTTAGCAATGCCCTCAAACACACACTGGAACCTCTCCTTCAGGGTGGATTTGAGTTTACTGCACACTGCAGCAGCAGTTCCTGAATGAACAAACAACAAGTGAGTGGATCCTGCAGAAACACTGAGACTCTGAACATTTAAGTGTGGCTGTATGGTTTGAATCAGCTCCTCAGAGGACACACTGACGCAGATGTGTGCAGCATATTAACAACATAGTTTCTAAATGTACATTTCTTGATGTTCCTCCATCTCCTCTCAGTCATGTTAAATTTGTTAAATACGGTTTCCGGTCTAGCAGGCATGGGGATTGCAGCATATAGTGACAGGTAAAATCGACAAAAGAGTGGAAGAAGCAGAGGAGCGAATTAATGCTGCCGAGGCCAGAATCCAGTCATCGGAGGACGTTCTGACGGAGCTGGTAAAGCTTCAGATGCAAACAGAGGCAAAGCTGACTGATGTGTAAGGGCATTCGTGACGCGAAAATGTCAGAATACACGGGGTAAAAGAAGGGCCGAAGAAGGCACAACATCAGTAGTTGTTTCTTGGAAGATTTGCTGACAAAAAGTTTGGAGCTTCCCTCCTCCACCGCGCTAAATATAAAGAGGGCACACCGGGCGCTGGCACCGAAACCCCCAAATGAAGCCCCTCCAAGATCAATCGTGGTTAAGTTCTCAAGCTACAAGATGAAGGAAGATGTGCTGAAAAGAGCTGGGCAGAAAAAATGATTTAATTTACAAGGGAAGAGGATACAACTTGACCATGACTATGCACCGGAGGTGCTGAGGAACCGGAGGGAATATGCAGAAGCAACAGCTGCGCTCAAGGAAAGAAATGTAAGATTCCAGACGCCATCCCCTGCCGATTAAGAGTGTTTTGCGAGGAAGGTACAGTGTTCTACGGCTCGGTGGAGGAGGCAACAACGGACATGGCAAAGAGGGTCATTCCGGTGACTGTGGTGAAAAAGACAACCTCCCTTTTGGACCAGATCAGCCGGATGACTTGGCGATCCAGTGAAAAGTGAGGAAACCGGGACACTACACGCTCCAACCAAGGCTTTAACCTGTTAAGCCCCGAGCCTGTTTTTCAGGTCTCAGGCTAGAAAATTACATTATATATATATTAGGGCTGTCAGTCGATTAAAATAGTTAATCGCGATTAATCGCAAATTAATCGCACATTTTTGATCTGTTCTAAATGTACCTTAGAGGAATATTTTTCAAGTTTGTAATACTGTTATCAACATATGAGTGGACAAATATGCTTTATGCTAATGTTTATTATCATTTGAACAATGACAAATATTCTCATGAATATTAAACACAACAACCTCTGAACATTACAGATATTCGCCTCAAGTCAACCTGGAACCTCTCTCATACAATAATACAATACAAATGGTGTGTGTGTGTGTGTGTGTTTTGATTGAAAAGTTTATTAACAGCTTGTATATTGGGTACAGTACAGTGTGTGTGTGTGTGTGTGTGTGTGTGTGTGTGTGTGTGTGCGTGTGTGTGTGTGTGTGTGTGATCGTTGGAGCTATGTGCAACTCAAGGCATATGCTCGAACGGGAGCTGCCTGGACGCTGCAATCATGTTGCGCACTATCCGTGCCGAGTGTGCTGACTTCTCGTACAATGTCCCACTGTCTGGCTTCCTGCATAAAGTCAAGTGCTCGGCGCAGTTGTGGCGAAATGTCGCTCCTCTGTTTTCATTTAAACAGCTCCTTGTATCCGTTAGCGCAGCTAGCTAACACCAGATGCTAACAACAACAATGCACGTAAGGTCTCTCTCTCGCTCGGGCCACACATACACACCCTCCCGGTCCTCCCAATAGCCAGTCGGTGCCTGCCGGTGAGCGTGGAAGTGTGGTCTGCCACAAGCGGGCGGCAGGAGCGGGGCTGTCAGCATCAGCTTGTAGATGGTATTTTAAACTCGATGCGCTCTGAAACTACGGGGCGGCCGAGGAAAAAAAAGACACATGCGTTAATCGCGTTAAAATAATTAGTGGCGTTAATTAATTTTTTGCATTAACGCGTTAACTTGACAGCCCTAATATATATATATATATATATATAATCTCCACTTCTAAAAAGGGGTAATTTAATAATCTTTTTTCTCAAAGCAATGATAAACCTGTGAGTTGGATGTAGAAAAGTCAGAATCAATATAGAATTTTTACATTTTAAAGTAAATTCAGATTGAATATAGTAAAAAAAATGTAAATGATAGTGTCCGTCGAAAAGAAAAACATTACTTATAGTGAAAACCACCCTTGGATAAGGTAGACTAAAAGCTTTAGGAATCGAAACGATAACATATAATAAGTACCCTGTATCAAGATTGATGCAAAACAAGTGACATTTGACCTTTGTAGAGGTTTAGCAAAAGGAAACCTCTTCTGGGGTCATTTGGGTGCATTTTCCATATCTCTGGCACCCCTCGGTCGATTTTGATGATTGACATCCCTTTTTAACCGTTAGAGCCAATATAATCGAGGGGAAGTTCCTAAAAATCCATCTAAACATTACCCATTGGTGAATAGAGTGATGCGTAGTGTAGAGGAAACTTCTGTGTAGCATGCAGTGGAGTCACCGACTCAGGAAGGAGACACGGGAAGAGTCGGAGCTTTGATGTCAAACCACTGTGATTTATTTGGAGTTGGTACCAGAGTATTCACACCACAAATCCAAGAGTCAGAGGTTCTGACTCCACGGTAGAGTTGCCACGTCAATTCTGGAGAGCCTCTCTCTTGCCAGCCCATCTAACTGGTTTCGCAGAGAGTAAACAACATATTTGAGAAGATAGCCTAAACAGTGTGGGAACACTGAGTTACTTGCGTCGGACACTTATGACCTCGAAGATTTTACCCAAGGCTTGGAGTCCACAAATACAGAGAAGGAAGTGTCCCAGTGTACCCACAACACAGACCATCTGTATCCCAGTATTGACCGGTCACAGAATGGGAACAATAACATTATTGGCTAAGCCGCCTGTGTCCTTAAAGGAGGTAAACAGACGTCAAGGTTTGTCCTGTATGTTACAAATTGGCGTCTTATGATAATTATTTCCATAACACGTAGCAGATTGCCCAATACCGGAAGCTGTCTCTCGTAGCTATCGTAGCTATCATACAGATGTAGCACCTCATTTCAGACCGTTTGAAACGCGAGGGCCGTGATTGGTACGTGATATGCCCTCGCTCAAGGGAAAACCTCCAGCTTGACTTGAGACCTCCCCCGTGATAAATAAATGTAATTATTATGAAGCCAGCTGCAATGGATCATTGATCCACCAGGGGTTGCAGTGGGGTTCCACACTGGAGCTCATGTGAAATAAAGTCAGATACAGTAAGCTGGATGTACAGCGGAACTTTGTTAAGATCCATATGTCACGGATATCATACTCTGTGCTAAATAAGAGACATGTAATCATTTACAAAACATCACCATGTTGTTATTTAACAAAATAATGTTGTTTAGTCGGAAAAAACGAACGGGAGGAAATGCAGCCAGGCTCTCGATTTTTAATCCTAATTTACGATCATTTATGTTCGCCGAATTGACATGAAATCACTGACAAATATGAATATACTGTATTCAACTTCATTAAAATGTTATTAACGTGCCTAAACTCAGTAATTCACAAAAAATATTTATATTTTAATGGAGCCTCGTCGGCAGATCAGGATCCCGACGCGTAACGGAGGGATCTTGATCTGCATGAAGGGTGTTATTTTCCCCATAAGGAAAAAGTCGCTGCAAATTATCCCGCTTATTACATGGCCACATTCTCAACAAAGTAACGACATGACTCCCAATATTAATTGAAAGGCTTGTATGGATTTAGAAAATGTTTTTATTGATTCAAAAAATAGTTGTATGTATTGATTTAAATTGACATGCATCCGCTAAGAAAAATAGTCCGTTGTTACCGTTTTTTACCTACATCACTGAGTCATCCGAACTCGCGACAGGGGAAGCAAACACAGACATCACAACACGTACCTTTACGGAGCGTTTACGGGAGATCGTCTCACCGTAGCTGTCAATCTGATCAAAAGACGTGTTCAATGGCATTAAAACGAGAAAAAACTCGGCTGAATCGGTTAATCCATAGGTTTTTAACGTCTCTATATAAACAAATTATTTCATTTATAATCCATAATTCCATTTTTATGTAAAAATCGCAGAGCAAAAGTTAGCTGCTAATGGTAGCCACCAGAGTGGCTGCTACTTCCGGTCTTGGCTATGCGGCAGTCTAATACACACACATTACCAAATAAGGAGTGAGAGTGACACGTAGCCAAAACCGGAAGCTGCATACACTCTGGTGGCTACCATTAGCAGCTAACTTTTGTGCTCCGATTTTTACATAAAAATGGAATTATGGATTATAAACAATTGCTTCAAAGCCACAGATACATTATCAACCTATGGATCAACCGATTCAGCCGCGTTTTTTCTCGTTTTAATGCCATTGAACACGTCTTTTGATCAGATTGACAGCTACGGTGAGACGATCTCCCGTAAACGCTCCGTAAAGGTACGTGTTGTGATGTCTGTGTTTGCTTCCCCTGTCGCGAGATCGGATCGCTTAGATACTATATTTAAATAATCTGTGGAGTCTCAGCTTTAATTGGATATATTGTATGTGCAGTTTCGATAAGTAATAAGGGTATCTTTATTTTGAATTCTGTGCTAAAGTGTGTTAGCATTTTTTTTTTTTTAAATGAATAAAACCGCACGTCCCTGCGGTGTGAATATCGCGCATGCGCATATCGCCATGACACGGTATATCGTTCAGCCCTAGTCTGAAATGAAACGGCAGCTCTCAGATGTGTATTTACACAACTAATGGCCCATCAATCACAGCTCTCTCTCCCCCTCCCCCCCCCTGATCTTTCTTCTCCAGCAGCTCCCTCTACAAATCAAACTGTAGATGGTGGGAAAGCACCTATTGTTTTAAATAATGGTCAGAATGTGACCTGTGAGCCTTCTGAATTACCGTGGGACAGCACATTCTAAACTAAAATGTTCAATCAATAAAGTAACATCTAATAATCGTAATAATATCTTCATATT